ACACCTTCCTGCATCGACCGTGGTCCACGACTTCGAGCAACGCATTATGTCTGGTGCGAATGGAGACTCCGATGCCCTCGGCATGGGACCCTTCGCTGGGTACACTCTTAACTCTCTGATTACCGTACTTTGCGTACTTATTGTATCGATCGGTATGTCATACTTGCATGTTGTAGCGTTTGTTAGTGATATACACATACACATATATGTTGTCACGAACCTACTGATGTTTTATTTCTGGATTAAATTGACCATGAAAATGTCTAATTATCTAACAACTAGTCTAAGCACTTCACAAAGTACTATGCTAATAACCCAATAAAACATTAAAAATTTTGGTGGCTAGAGCACTAGAGATGAGTATAGACTCACTATATACTATGTTGCTTAGCTCCAACACGCCTCAAACGCCCGACCAACGAGGTATAAATAGCCTCTCCCTTCAAATATAGCCATCGGTGGCTTGCAGCCCTCGGGCAGAGAGCATCAGAAATTAGTTAGGAAAGAGTGAGCATCAACACCTAGTGCTTGCTGCCACGTGGACTAGCCATTGCTGACTATTGGAGGATATTTTCTCTAATGCCATCATCGAAGGTTTCCAATGACCTTTAGAACCTACTGCAGAGTCTCTCGGACGCAACCTTTTCTCTGGTCTTTCGTCCCTGGTACCACTGGAGCTTTTCGGTGAGTGTTGAACCCATCTGCAGAAAGCACTGCCCACTGCTTGGCCTGGAGCCTGACTTGTGGTGCTGGCCACACTGCTCACCGCACCCTGAGAGTTCCGGTGAGTGTTGGACAGCTGACAGTCAGGGTATACACAATCCTATTCTCCAGTGCCTCTGCCAAGGTAGCACCAAATAGAGTCAATTTGGCTTTGATTCTTTCATTTGATGTATTGGACTCCTTGCATGTCTTCTATGATATTCAATGGTCCTCTATGATATTCAATGGTGCTGCTTGGTCTTCCTTGAGGTGTTGAACACTTGATCTCCGCATTATCTTTGCCTAAGCCAACCCTACATCCAAATGAACTAAAACCATGTATAGTAGCAAACCAAATTAGTTCATTTGATCATGTTGTCAATCAACCACTAAAATCACATAGGCCCTAGATGCCATTTTCCTTACAAAAGTCATTTGTCCTTAGCATAGACTAACTATAATAGACATGAGACATGATGTTCTAATTATCTATTACAATTAATCTATGTATGTCCCGTGTGCTGCTATCTATGGTCCTCACAACACTCCACCTGCGCTTCTATATAGTCCTAACGATCAACACCGACTAACTATAATAGATAACGAGAGTTAACACCAAAATGAGCTTATAAAAATTCAGAGAATTTCAACTTTAAGCACCATAAGATAGAACATAAGATTTTAGAAAAAATCTAAAACTACTTTCATAGTTTCCAAGTTAAAATAAAATGTATTAAACCATATTTAGGATTTTTATTAGTTACATTATTTTTTCATTACAAATGTTTTGATTTTTTAAAATGATTGAATAGATTTTTTTTAGAAAAACAATAGATGATATTTTGGATAATTATATTGAAAGAAAAATATTTTTAGTCTGATTTACCTTCCCTCGTGGTTAATGGTGCTATGTAGGACAGCGGGTGTGGTGTCACATGAGCAAAAAACCGCCATTAAAAATTGAAAATTACCCAGAATGTAAAAACAAACGATTTTAAAAGTTGACTTCTTAAAACCCGGTTTCATAAATGGAAGAGTGAATTGGATGATTTGTGTTTGAGAAGGTCGAGGGAGTATATAAAAAAAATCCTAGAAAAAAGAACCCGTCCCAATAACCTCGCTACGCCCCTCCCCTGTGCGCCGCCATTCTGCTCCGGCGCAGGTGGAGTGGAGCACCACGCCGGCCCTTCCCCTCCCCGACCGCGCTACTCAGGTCCGCCCGCCGCTGGTACATCTGGTCCACCTTCGATCATCCTGTTTGATCGAAAGTCGTCGTCTTTAGTTTCGTTTCATCTGTTTTCACTGTGATTTTCGTTAGGCTTCAGTGATGCCATCTTCCCTTCGAATGCTGAAGTAGGCTCCTCGTTACAATATTTCTGTTACTCTGAATGCTCAAGCAGGCTCCTCGTTCGCACAGGACGGGCTGCGCATTTACTTCTGTCGATCTGAAAGCTTCTGTTAGTAATTTCTTTCTTCTCCCCTTGGTTTTTTCCTCCCCCATTGACAGATCAGATCAGCTCAGATCGAACTTGGAGTTGACGTCCGATCAACCATGGGCCTCTCCCGGCGGTTTCTGAACCTGATCGTGGAAAGCAAGAGGCTGCCAAGCGCCTGCAACTCTTTTATCCAACGCTGCCGCCGCCACCAGCAGCACCAATCCGGCGGCCAACAACGACGATGGAGAGGATCCGGCTTCCCGGCCCGATCTTGAACATCAAAGCCCACAGCCAGAGAGGTGCAGGCGATCCGTGCGACTTAGCCTGTTACCCATTTGGACAACGGAAGGTGCTCTCCACGGACCAGGCCGGGCGCAACTTCCTCTACGACGCCGACACGCGCGACGTGGCGGCCATGCCAAAGTTCCACAAGCCTAAACTGCGTCGTTGCCTCTCGCTCTTCGTCCCTAGCGGCGGCGACGGCGAAGGTGACGACCGCGAAGGCGGCGGTGGCGGCAGCCTATACCTCATGGTGAGGGAACTCCGAGAGGTAAAAAGGTACAAGATTGAGGTTGGGCAGCCAAGCATGGATTTCGAGGTCTTATTCTACGGCAATGGCAGGACTACCTCGCACTGCAAACGACTCCGGCTGCCGCCCTTCGTCCTTGAGCCCATCCATCAGAATGAATACCCCGAGATTCGTTCCTATGCCGTCGTCGGTCGTGGCTCTCACATCTGCGTATCCGTCGACGGCAGAGACACCTACGCCCTGGACACGGCGAGGTACACCTGGAGCAAGATCGGCGACTGGACCCTGCCCTTCCATGGCAAGGTCGAGTACGTGCCCGAGCTCAACCTCTGGTTCGGCCTCTCCGGCGATGCCCAGCACTTGGCTGCTGCTGACCTCTCCGTCATGGACGCCCACTCCCCGCCACAGCTAGCTGCTGGCCACGGTTGGGAGGAGTTCCTGCCTCCGGAGCAATGGGCAGAACAAGAACTAGATATAGATCAAGAGGATGTTCAACTAGTGAACCTGGGCTCAGGCAGGTTTCGCATCGCAAGGTTCTTCATCGACTGGCGGGAGAGCGATGACATTGCCTTCTACTTTGTCGTCTTGACCGGCGTGGAAGTGGTCGAGCGTGTCCTCGACAATGGTGAAGTGAAACTCGAAATGATCCCTCACAAATCCAAGTGTCATCACAAGTCGCCTGTCGACGTAACTCACATCGAGCAATTGTTGTGAATAACCCTTATGTATATACATACCCACAATTGTATCACCATGCATGTGTTGTATCTGAATGATTTTGGCTTTTTGTTGGGACTGAAAAGTGAGAAAACTTTCTGAAAACTGAGCGTCCTTTTGTAGTAGTTTGTAATTTCAAGACTTGCACATGGATTTTCTGAGTTGTCGTTTATTTAGATCCGTTATAGCGCCTGGTTACCGTGTTGTTTCAGTGATTTGGGATCGAGAAGTTCATGTGATTGCAATAATTCGATGATCGGTTACTCGTCTCATTTATAATACTCCATTCACTTTAATTGAATTATAAGCGGTCGTGGCTTTTCTCGATACATAGCTTTTAATATATATCTAGACGTAGTGCATATCTAGATGCATAGCAAAAGTTATGTATTTAGAAAGTCACGATGACTGATAGTTTGGAACAGAGGAAGTAGTATACTTATAGTGGTATATTATATTACTTACGGTGGTACTTCCCTAAGGCATGACTAGATCCAATGGTTATACGAGACGAAGCGGGTAACCAAGAGATACCTATGCTTGTACCATGACTATAAATGAAAAGATTAAGGTGTTTCTTGTACCATGACTATAAATGAAAAGATTAAGGTGTTTCTTGGGATGTGTGCTGGAATTTTATAAAAATATCTATATAAATATTATAGAAAAAACACATGAAACATGGAAAAATATGCATTCCAAAGATGGACTAATTTTGATTACCGTGATTGTTTTAAAAAATTTACTGATTTCTGTCCTAAATGAAAATTAATCCATAAAATGAATATTGGAAGGGTAAAAATTATATGATAACAAAACAAAAATGATTTAGCTTTTTCTGATCATTTTATTCAACAACCAATTATTGAGACTCCAAGCATGCCACAACCCATCCTAGCCTAGGCTAGCCCACAACCAGACAAAACACCAATCATTGACTGTAGCGAGAGTCGTTCAACTCATCTTCTCACGCAAGAAATTGGAGTTTTGCTATTGTTAAAGGTGGGCTTCGCCCGAGTTCCATCTCGCAAACACGATTTGCTAGAATATTATTATAAAACGAGGCCTTCTTGCTATAATGAATTTTTTCCATTTTTATTTCATCTTTTCATCAAGATGTAACCTAGTGTGACCAATATGCCTCTGGTTGAAATGAGGCAAGCCTCTCTCCGCTCGTTCTCTCTTTTCCCATTCCTTTTCTTTTGCCCACAAGAATATGCACTGCCGCCATTGATGGAGTCACCCCTAGCCTAAATGGAAGGAGATCGACATTCTCCCTCCGCTAGATCTGGTCGGAACAAGTCGTCCCTGCCCGCCCTTCACATATGTGCTGATGAGATCTCATATGTAATTGTGATCATGGTAGGATGGGCAGAGGTGTGATCGAGGAGGAAGAAGAAGAGGGGCAGAGTGCATAAATGTTGATATTCTTTACTATAAAAGTTGATCAAACTTAGAAAAGTTTGATTGGTGTTAACCCTAAAAGTTAATTTGTTTGGATGACGAGGGTAGATCACTGAATATATAGTCACAGGATACTATTGATATACAAAGGTAACTATAAATGGTAGCGGAATCAAATTAAGATATATAGTTTAATGGAGTAATATGTAGCATCACTGCACTTCAGGAGAATGACGAAATCCATGATGACAATGAATTACCTCATCAGAAATCAGAAGATAGATAATGGATAAAACAGTGAGCCTGAAGAGCAAATTAAGCACCAAAATTATTTGTTTATAGAACAATGCCTCGATGCTAGTGCTGTTGACACGTCTTGATCTGTGAGGGGTCATTTGCAGTAACACTTTTCCTGCAGTGCCACCTTTGCCACCGCTATTGACCTCAAGACCAGTAAAGACAGCAGCATTTTCATGGATCACTTGATCACCAGCAGAGCCTGCAGCTTCTTGGAAGAACCTTGCAATGCAGAACCTGCCAGAACCCAGGCTGACAAACTGAGGATCCTTGCATTCCTTCCATTCATCTGGCAGATGATCAAGCTCCTTCCAAGGGCCGCCCACTAGCTGACATGGCTGGGAATCCATGACGTCAGAGAGGTCAGCAGCAGCCAAGTTCTGCTGGCCACCGGCGGCGGAGAGGCCAAACCAGAGCTTGAGCTCAGGCACGTACTCGACCTTGCCATGGAAGGGAAGCGTCCACTCGCCAACTTGGCTCCACGTGTGGTCTGCTGTGTCCAGGCAATAAGTGCCAACACCATGAACGGATATGCAAACATGTGATCCGCCACCGACGACGCCATAGGCTGTGATCTCGGGGGTGTTGTTGTACCAGCTCCATGTCTCTCGTACAAACGGCGGCGGCGGAAGGAGGCGGCAGGTGAAGCATTTGTTGAAGCCCATGAACTGCTGGCTCTCCCGCACTTCATTGGAACCCTCTCCATGAGGAAGAGGCTGCTACCGTTGTCATGGCAAAATCTGTCGTCGTCGACGTGGGGCTTGTGAGCGAAGACGGAGACGGGCTTCACCGTCGGCAGCTTGGGGAGCGGGGGCATGGTTCCCACCTTGCGTGTGTCCAGGTCGAAGATGAAGCCGAGCCCCGACTGATCATCCCCGCAGATGACCTTGGAGTCCGCGAACGGGAAGCAGTTCAGGTTCCATCCGTTGTTTAGAGCACGCAAGGTGAAGCTTGGACGAGGAAGCCGAAGCGTCTCCATCTCCGTCGTCTTTGATGGTGGTGGTGGTGTGTCACGGTAAAGCAGCTGCGCCAGGTTGATGCGGCGCAGCGATTTGACGCCGGGGGAGCAGCCGGCCACGATCAGATTCAGGAACCGCCGGCCCAAGACGCCCATGATGGCCGACGATCGGTCCTAGCTCCAAGTTCAATCTGCCCCTGCCGATGAACTCAACCCGCAAGATTCGATCCCCAACCCCAAGTCGTTTACTCGTCCTTCCGATCCCTGCAGCGGTGCCTTCAAATTAAAGCCGATCGAGATGCGTCACAAAACCCTTTACAAATAACAGGATGGTGGGATGCAAATGTATCGCTGCAACTACAAGCAACGTACCCGAGGGGAATGGAAAGGGCCGGCCAAAGGGGCAGCGCGGCGCTCCCCTGTGCCAGAGCAGGGTGGCGGCGGCGGCGGCGGCGGACGGTGGGGGAGGCCGCCAATCTTCCCGTAATCCCGTCCACCTTCGGCACTGTGCGCGTACTTTTTTTCTCCGGCCAGCATGCATTGTGAAGTGGCCCCTTGGCCCATGTAGATGTCGTATACAGCCCAGTTAGCAACTGGTGGTTTTGTTTTTTCTGTTTTATTATTATGTTTTCTTTTGGCCCTTCGCATATTACTTCCTCCGTCCACAAAAGAATGCAATTCTCGTTTTTCGAGAAGTCAATCAGTTTATACTTTGACCAAAATTATATTAAAAAATATTAACATTGATGATATAAAATTAGTATCATTATATTAGTTATAGGATATATTTTTATAATAAATTTATTTGGAGACATAAATGCTAATAATATTTACTAGAAACTTGGTCAACCATGAGCAAACTTGACCGGCACGGATCCCATAATTGCATTTTTTTTGGACGGAGGGAGTACTTGAGTTTGGGTTGAGCGAGATTCGGCCTAAACTTTAGTGCTGTTGAAGTGAAGTTGACTCTTAGAAACTGTAATAAGGTAGCGCATGCTTTGGCTGCGCTAGGACCAATGTGCAGTGATCAAGCCAGTCCACAATTCTATATGTAATCCCTGAATGTATCTCCCGGCTTGCAGCCGAAGACATTGGTATTAATGAGTAATGGTCTGTGGAACTTTCGGAAAAAAAGTTCTTCCATCAGTTTTCATGTTCTGTTTTATGTGTACAATTTTTCTCCATGATTTGTTCCATGTGTATAGTTTTTTCTCCTCTTATAAGGGTTTTTAGATCATTTTAAGGAAGAAGAGAAATGACTGTGATGTACATGGACCAATGATCAAGAGAAAAAGGCACAATTAACGCATACCCCTCAATCAAGCACCAAAATTAAACATGCTCCCAATGCATTATGATTTCTAAAACTTGTACTAAACAATGATACATTCTATGTGATGCCCATACTTAGATTTAGCAAATTTTGTCAAAAAAGAAATCATAATTTAAGAAAAACTACTTCATTGGGTTTAGACCATGCATACATACTTCATTTGAGTATTTTCTTAAACTGTCTAACAATTTTGAAATGTGTTATGCTATATAACAGAGAGAGAGTATAAAATTAATTGATGCAGGCTAGCGCTCGGATGGACGCGCGTGTAGCCCGTCCCGCCCCGCACACGCACCTGCACCTGTCGCTTTGCACGTGGCTCCTTCCCGGAGACCCCGCTCCTCTCTCTCTCTCTCCGCGCGGGCAAGACCCGGGAGCTAGGATGAGGACGAGCACGCCCCTGTTCGCAGGACCCGGGCGCGCCGCGCGCCACGCGCCCGGACCGCCGACACTTGGCTCGCCATGCCCGATCCCCCGGCGGGCGAGTTGTGCCCCCATGACTCTCTGAACACACCTTTGAAACATGAAACACTTGAATGCAACATATCTCTGAAGCAGATGAAACATTTGGAACATACACTTGAAACATGTGTGAAATATATGTGTCGGGTTCATAAACCCGGGGTCCCTCATGGACCGGCTTCCCAGCAAAGGCTCGGCCCAGCAGACAACGTTGTGAACGACGCGCAACTCTTGGGCCGGCCCAAACACCTAAACACAGGCCAAAAGGACAATCCAATCTTCGACCGGAAGATCTGGCCGAGGAGGAACGGCGCCCGCTTTCGACTCTGGCCCGCCTCTCCGACCGGAAGGCCTCACGAAGTAGGAACAACACTCGCTTCCGACACCAGCCCACTTTCGGACGGCCTCTCCAACTGGAAGGCCTGGCCAAACACCACTTTCCAACTCCGGCCCGCATCTCTGACCGAGGATGTGCCGAACCCCTACTTACATCTCCTCTTCGACTAGCGCAATCAGAGCCAACTAGAAACCAACCGACCGGGGACGCCCGCTCGGTAAGGACCAGGAAACGGACGGAGAAAGTAAGGCAGGGCACTCAAGTCAACCGCAATACCGAGGACCGTACCCTGTACATCTGCAGGACAGTACCCTGCGACCTCCCTGGCATGACAGAACCCAAGTAGTGTTGTAGGCACCGACATTTTCCCCTACAGTATTGTGGGCGTCATCAACTCCCATACCAGACAAATACGGTAAGGCTCCCCCCACATGCCTCTGGGCATCAATAGTGTTGTGGGCACCGGCATTTGCCGTACCAGGCAAACATGGTAAAACATGTTGCATGCCTCTGGGTATCAACAGCAGAAGAAGACGACGCAACCCCCACGTGTATCTGACATTAAACAATATTATGGGCGCCTACCATCATCTTGTACCCGCCGGCGTGGGCAGCAAGACATAGCATCATACATACTCTCTCCCTCTCACTTGTAAGGCCATCCTCTTTATCCATAAAAGGGGATGCGCTCTCTCCCAAAAAAGGATCGATCAGTTCACTTACATTGATTCACCCTCTGTAACTTTAGGCACTCTCAAACACTTAGCACATAGCGGGGCTCCCGTCACTCTCGGCCCTTCAGACCAGAGTCCGACTAGACCTCTTGTACCCCCCATCTTTCTCCCTTCTGTTTGTAACCCCACAGCAAACTTCGAGCACCTGGGCTCAGGAATAAAGTCACCAACCAACTCAAACTGGACGTAGGGCACGTTGCCTGAACTAGTATAAACCCTGTGTCATTGAGTGCTAGGCCACCTCCGATCACAACGTATAGCAAAACTATAAATATTTACGTGTTGGTCACTTTCTGCACCGACAGTTGGCGCCGTCCGTGGGGAAGACGCTGTACGTTCAACACTTTTTGGTCGTCAGATGGCCCACTTTTCCGCCACCTTCGCCATGGCAGGCTCAAGCGATACGACTCGCTTTGGCTCACTGAAGTTTCCCGCACTCCCACCTGTTGGAATGTGGGTTCCACCCGTCTTCAAGCCATCCCAGGCCTTCCTCTTCGGAAGCCTGGACTTCGTCGCCGACTGGCTCGGCGTACTACACCTCCGCGAGGAGGCACTTGTTCCGGCGCCCGTCGGAGGAGCGCCCTCCATTGGCTCCGGGACGCACAATGACTTCAACATTGAGGTGCCTACGCTTTATTCCGAGCAAACTCTCTGCTCAAACCCCATTGTGAGTAATGTACATATTATTATTTACTCCCTATTTGCAATCTTCCGCCGATTATCCGGAGGGACCCCGTTGTCCCTGCCGCGACCGCCATGCGCCCAGTTCCCCTATGGCCTCGTGTCCCCTATGGATGCGTACGCTCGGGGGCTCCGAAGGATGCCGGCGCCGCTCCCTCTCACGACCGAATTCGTGGGGATGGCGAGCTATGCTCCCACCTGTTTCCTTGACCTCATGGATGACGATGTTGAGAGTGATGGCTCCAGCATCGGTGATGTGGCACCTAGCCACCGTCTGTCCTAGGAGTGCGCTATGACGGACGCTCCGGGATAGCCGTCGGTGGTAGCGGAGTCCTTGCAGACTCACACCCCTCCAGACCCTCATGCGGGGACCCTCATGCTCACATGAGAGAATGGCAAGGAGCTACAACAACGGCGACAGAACCAGCCACCACCTGCACCGACGTGCTCGGTGCACCACGCTGCGCCCCGTGCGCATAAACCGGCGAGTGGCGCCCGGGGTCGTGCCCACTAGGTCCAGCGTAACATCATGGATAGGGGAACGATCCCCCATAGTTCGCTTGGGCTGACCAGAACATCACCGCTGCGGCAATGCTTCTGCGTGGCCTTCCCGAGCCGAATGACCCCCAGGAACAGGCGATCCATCGGAACCTCCAGGCACTGGTGGAAACCACTGCCGTTCAATAGGCGGAGAGCTCCGCATCACGACACCGACTCGCAGCATCTCTCCCCACTAGGGGAGTGGGGACGCACCAGATGAATCGCTCCACCCGCTCATCACTACGGCCGCCGAGCGCGGCACAGGAGACCGCATCTGTGCCTCGGTTTGACCTGGTGCCCGCCCCGCACCGACCGCCTGTACGCGAGTAGCTCGGGCCGAACCAAGACGCTCACAGCGTCATCAGCAACCGGTGTCGGTCCTAGCATGATGATGGCGCCCATCGAGCGGCAGTCATGGTAGGCGACATAGACCCCGGCCAGACCATCACGAGTGGTGAAACACACCCCAGGCGTGGTCGCCGACCGGACGACAGGAGTCCTAGCCCGGATGGATCGGGACCACGGGCCTTTGCCCGACGCATCCAGAGAGTGCCGCTCCGCAATGCTTCAATGGAGGCCAAGGCAAAGGCAAGGCCAAGCGCGAGGATCAGGACAAGGGGCCCTCCACACAGAGGGGCAAAAAGAACAAAAAAGATCGTCGTCGATCGGCCAACTCCGCGTTGGTCGTCGTGGCTGATCACACGGGCAAGAAGCCCCAGCAGGGCCCTCTAGACCACTTCAACAAGCTCATGGAGAGCCCATGCACCAACCACGCCTACCCCATCAAACACCTCTACAAGGACTGCGAGCTCCTCAAGCGCCTTCTGCGATAGGCCGGCGGGCCGAAGGAAGGAAAAGGCGAAGAAGCAGCGTCCAAGAAAGGGGGCGTAGCGGGCAAGGATCCGGACGACTGAAGGTCGAGGTGATCCGACCGGACGCCTACCGACTAAAGGACAACAACGACAACATTCTCACCAACACTTGGAACAGCTACGTCGTTTCTTCCCCTAAAATTCAGTCTTACCATTGTTTACTTAATGTTTGCTCCTATAAAAGCGCCCTGACC